AAGCAGAAGAAACCGATGTCCTGTTTTGGGGTCAGAAGGAAAAGATCAGTTTGTTCGTGAATTCTATCTGGAACAACTTGAACAAATTCAATTGGGGGGCGGTTTAAAATAAAACCTCAAACACTGAATTACGTTGGTCAACAGAAGAGCTTTACTCAACTTTTATTTTTAACCCTTTCAAAACTAGATCTAAAGAGCTTCAATGCCCCAATCTTGGAGGCTCCCAGAGGTTCAGAGGAGGAGAAGGAGCAGAGGGAGAGAATGGCCAAAGGAGGCCTTGCCTGTCATTTAAGCCATCTTGACAGAAACCCTAGAAAACCTGGTTACTCTGGTGTTGCTTCTTCTGCAGAGCCTCCAGTGGGGAAGGTGACTCACAAGATGGTGAATGACAGTCTGGAAATCCTCACCTGCCAGGCCTTTGGCTTCTACCCCAAGGAGATCCAGGCCATCTGGACCAGGGATGGAGAGGCCTGCAAGGATGAGACCCTCCTTAGGAACGTGGCCTCCAACTCAGATGGGACCTATTACATCTGGCTCAGCATTGACATCGACCCCAAGGAGAGGGACCGTTTTCGGTGTCACCTGGAGCAGGAGGGTTTGCAGGAGCCCCTGGACTTGGCCTTCAAGGAGGAAGGAGGTGAGAGGCTTATGGGGTTGTGATGTGTAGGAAAAAACTTTGTGTAGAAGTTACATCAGTATTTGACAATGTGGGCGGAGTTTGCTGCTGCTCCATCTCATGTTTTCAGGTGGAGAACAGCAAATACGGTATAGCCATCTATTTAGCAATGGGAGAGAAGTGATTTCTGTGAGAAGAGTAGGAAATGGTGGTAGGAATAATGTGAATATATGATATACGAGATGATGGGTGGAGGCTCCTCCTTCTGCCCTTCAAGGCCATTCGCTCTGCCCTCTTCAGCCTTGGGGAGGAGGAGCTTCCTTCAGGTGGGGGCACTTCCTGGTGGCCGGTTCAGCTTGGGAAATGCTTCCACTGCTCAGCATCTCCACTTCAGGGAACTCAGCATCTGTCTAACCAGAACTTCTGAATTTTTCCTCCTTTAGCTCCCACAAGGTGGGCTCTTGTGGGAGTTCTGGCTGCCGTAATCTTGGGAGCTGGGCTTTTCTTTCTGATAGGTAAGTGAAACAAACCCATCCACTGACATCCCCTCCCCTGTGTCTTTCTGTGTTGACTGAGCTGGGGTAGATGCCACAGCCTCCCTGAGAGTTTCACTCATGATCCCTACATGACCCTTCCCCACAAAGAGCATTTGGAACAGCAGTCAGAAAGAAGAAGAAGCTATGCAGCTATTTTTTCCCATTTCTTGTAAACCTCAGGATGTTCCCCCTGCCTCGTGTCTGGGAGGAAGTCTCTCTCACTTTTTGTATAAAAATTTTATTTGGGTTTTCATAAAACATAATACAAGTAAAATTTCTTTTCTTTTTTTTTTTGAGAATAGCATGGTCCTGGGTTATCACTTCTCCATACAAAACACAAATTCAATTTCATACTCATCTTTGTGTTCTATTCCATATCTTATTACTATTTTAACATTTTCTCAATCGTTTTTCTCTTCCCTTAGTTTTCTCAATCTTACTTTTAATTATCTCATTCCTTTCTAAATTCAATTATATATATCTTTTTCTAAGTTTCAATACCTTTCTAGTCATTATATTTATACTTTTGTCTATCGTGTTTCAATTTCATATTTTCTTTTCTGATTAAACAAAATTTTCCCCTGTAGTTACTAATTGGAGTAGGACACCTTTGTGTCTTTTAATTTTTATCCATTCAACTCTTATATAAACTTCAATTTATGCCTTTACACTTATAACATTCAATATAACACATAACTTCCAGTTGAATTCTGCTTGGTCCATTCTTAAAATACACACTAAGTTCTTAAAGAGAAAATATATATATAACAATAATGAATAAAATACTTATTCTATTCCAGTTGAGCTCTATCATTAATGTTGGTTGTAATCTTTGACACCTTTAACATTTCTTTTCAATAGGGTATCCTATTTCTAGGAACGCTTATAATATTTTTGTAATTTTTTCATGTTTCTTTCATATTCCGCTTCACTTAAATTTTTATAACACGTTTATAATAATTAAAATGTTTCCCTCCTTTCCTAATTTCATTCTCTTATTCTTTATTTCATTTATTTATTAAACACTCCATTACGTTACAATGAGTATTTTATTTATCATTTTAATCTCACTTGTTTCATATTTTCAAAGTTCATTTCTATTTCTAATATAACCA